TCCCATCCCTCTGTCCTTTTCCACTGGCTATCGCAAATACGCGCATTTCGACTGACGCTGGGAAACTCAATGAACGAGTATTTAAACCGCGATCTCGCAAGCGGCACTCGGCGAAATCTGGCAGCCGTTTCCTTCGGAACGCCGACACTTATAGCGAGTTATAGAACCGCATGGGTAAGCAGCGATGCAATGAAGACGTTAATAATAATACTATATGTAGCACGCGTATCACGCTGAGGCTATTTATGTAATATTTATTCCAATTTAGTCGATATGTGTGCGCTTACTGTATAATCATAATTCTACGTGAAATAATAATTTAATTTTGCTGCCAATATCAACTACCTGCACAGAGGAATTAATATTTACGCGTATGTTCGCGCGCCGCAAGAAGTTTCTCATTTGAAATCTCATATTTATTTAACCGCTAAACACATTCTCGTATGGAAATATTTGAAAACGAATATTTAAAAACGAATATTTTAGCTGATAGCTTATTTATCTGCCAAACCAACAAAATATGAACAAAGCGGTCTCTAACGAAAATTGCTTTTGTTTATTTGAAAAATAATTCAGCGACGACTCTCTCTATGTTTAAACGACGACAATTTCATTTTATTTGTGTATGAAACAAATATATAGGCATGCACTATAAATAACTCGAATCTCTCGCCGTGTGCGTGTGTGAAATGTAAGTCACGAGGGTATTGCATTCCTATCGGTCGCGTTCGCGATAATAAAGTTTGTCTTTCCGGCTCTTCACATCTCGATTAACGGGAGAAATTACCCCCTATCGCTTTGCCGCAGATCGACGTATCAAATTGCCCCGCCGTGTGCAAATATTCGGCCCGGGGTCGGTGCTATGTCCGGCCAAAAAAAAAAAACCCCGACGAAATGGAACCCGCTTGATCAGAGGTTTAAACTAGTCCGAACAGCGTTTATCCCCGCCAGTGCGCGCTCTTCCTCTCTCCCTCAGCCCCTCTCTTCTTTCCTGCAGTTGTAATAATAAATGGACAGAACGCGGCAATTGGTTTCGATCGAGCGGCCAATCATCGGAAACCAATGTGAATGGTACCACGAAGGACAAGCTATTTTACTACAATGGCATTTTCAAGAAGAGAGACGGTCGCGGTGGACCCGACGCGGGAGATTCGCCAAGCCAAGCGTCGTTTCGGACTGTTCCTAACGTTTTGCAGTACAGCAGGCTTTTCGATCGGGAATACGCGGAAGTTTCCTGGGACGATATTAAAATACGCCGCGTTCGCCTTAATATACGGAACGTAATAGCCCCGATGCTGTATCGAACTATGTTCATATCGCGCGCAAGGTTAAAGAGCGACGCAACCTATTTCTACTAGTATTGACGCGCGTGCAACTAGAATTTGCGCGAATTTAAATCCCTACTACCACAATTCAGATCTCGCGAATAGTACAATTCATTACGGGCTTCCAGGCTCTGATTAATAACTTTCTCGAATTTCGCCGAAAATGCGTCCTTATAAATAATAATGTAACGTCTGCGAATATTTTGGGTCGCCCCGAAAAGAGACGTTTTTAGTCTTTTCGATCGCAATTATACGCAGTGAGACTTTGTCATAAACGCCAAATTGCACTTTCTGCTCGGGATAAGTCCCAGGTGGAAGACTACCCGAAGTTTACGAGATGAATGCAAACGCGCAATGTGTCTACTTTATAGTGTGTTTCTCCCTTCGTCCCAACCCCGGCGGCCACCCACCCTTTCCGCTCGATACACCTCGGGGGAGGTTGACGGGCGAAAGAGAAAGGGGCGGAGAAGCGGAAAGAGACACAGCGCGAAAGAGCGAGGGAGCGAGAAAGAGAAAGAGAGAGAAACCGCGTTAAAATAAAATTCTGCCTACGCCACTGTTTCGGATATTACGGTAGATATTTCAAACGAACGGGCACAATGGATCACCGCGCATAACCCGCACGTAGCTCATCGCCGCATTTATAATTCAGCCGTCTGAAGTGGCAATAATGGCGGCGAGAGACGCCGATACTTAATACCACCGTCAGGCTGAAACTCGACACAGTAATGGAGTATATTATTTTATATTTTACGATGCGCGCGAGAGTGCGACGAAACATGCGCGCGCGGGTGCAAGCGAACGAGCGGGCGTGCTTACTTGATCTCGAAGATATCGATATTGCGAGGCTTCCCTGAGACGTGCTGTGGTCCGATTTTAATAAATTCTGGCTTTGCCGAGGCGATACTGCGCTCGGAAGCGTCTTAGACTACATCGGTTTAATACAGCCTGTCCTAGGGCGCGTGATCTCAATTTTCGACGATAGAATTTCCGCGATGAATTCAGCGGCGATTTTCCTTCGTGAGGAGACACGACGTTTAAGCGTCTTGGTGAACGATCGGTGGCTCAATTTGAAGATTTAATGGAAGTTATAAATAAATATTTCGGCGGCGGGCTAAAACAGAATTTATGGGAAGGAGGACGAAGACTGAGTCAGCTGTCAATTTGGTGGAAAATAGAATGGGTATACAAGAGGCAATAAATCGTGGCGGCGCTTTTGCTCTATTTTTGTCTAGCGTTATAACCACGGCCTAGAAAGTTTCGACGGCTCGCCCCCTGTCCTGACAGTCATTTCCTTTTCTTTCAGGAAGGTATCGGTTCGCTAAAAGTGGTGCCTGGGGGAATCGAGCTAAGAGGTCAAGCTGCCGTGTTAGACGCCCTCGTGGCTTCCAGCCTGAGATCTCGGAGGGGCAAAAACTTGGTGCTGGAATCATGGAGTAATTTTACGGCCTCGGCGAGATCCCACGATGGACGACTTCTCGCGCGATTAACAGTCGGTAAGTTATAAAAAATGGCTGCACAACAGCCCACATATTTCATACCTCATTGTTCGGCCCGGCATTAAAAAGTAATTTCAACTTTCCGCGCGCGAAATAAGATTACGCCCGATGAAATAAGATCAAGCGGCCTATTTCGCAAACGAGACCGCGAGAATCTGCACTTGAAACGTTTTAACGATATGCAATTTGCCGTAGCGCGTAATCGCGCTCTTGATGAAATCCTAGATCGTTCAACACGCGCCCGACCGCGGATTCTAATTTCAGGGGAGGACCGCGTAGACTGTGTGTCCAGAGGTTTTCGAGTGACCGATCCTCGTGGAGGAGTTCTGTTCTCCGCGGACAGGGAACAAGTCATCGTGGGAGCCGAAATGTTGAGGGTAACTGGTGACGGTGGTGCCGTTTTTCAGGGTAGCGTGCAGACTCCACTGGTCAGAGGAGAATCGGGTCGCGGTCTTAGGTAATGAGCTTGTGAATGTTTTAATCGCGTACCAAATATTTTTCCTCGAACATGAAGAAAAGCTGCTTCGAGCTTAATATAAATATAAATAAATTTTCATGTTTATTGACATAATATAATGCAGGAAGTTATCGTAATTAAAATTACGTAAAATTTTGAACGAATCTTTTCAGGAAAGCCTCTTTTCAAAGTCTTTGTGATATCAAGTTCCTCTTAACGATGTATTTCTTACGATCGAAAATTCGATTGAAGTGCAGGAAATGTTAGTTATATCTGAGGCGAATTTCCATAGAGACTATTCGATGATTTGGTATCATTTGTATTATCTATCGCAATGAACGATTTCTAAATATTACCTCCAAATAACGTGCAATTATTTGCGATCGCATCAATATTCATATGTGCAACTTCATCGGAAAACAATACAAATCCATGCACATAATTTTACCCGCGGCAACTAGCAAATAGATAGATTTGATGAAACTAAACGGGTCATTTGATTCCAATTGGCTATCGTTCCGTCGGATAGCTGCAAAAGTAACCAATTGAGTGCAACTCCGCGATTGTTACAGAGTTTCTCGCGACAGGATCTCGCGAAAAACACAGTTTCTCACGAATCAAGACGAGGACAAAGCGCGTAACATTTAGGAAGCGACGGAACCGAACAAACTAATAACAAATAATAAAATGTCGAGTGAGATCAATCAATCGATTATCCTCATCCGATTGTCTCGTCAAATAACGCGTTGCAGCAGTAGCGCCTCGTAGCACCGCGGAGGAATCGTTTTCCGCCGGAAATGGCGATTCCTTTCCACCTATATTCCCGATCATCACACCTCCGGCCCGAACACCCCGGAGCTCTCCTACCCCTCTGTACTCCGTCTTGCTTCCTCATCTCTTCACCGAGCACCACCTCGGTGTATTACGGCAAGAGATCGGGGTCTACGAACGACAGCGTGGACGAAAGGAGGACGAAGATGGCAGAGGAGCGGGAGGGGACAGAACGGAGTTGTACCGCCAGCGCGGTTATTGATAGCGCCGGGCAATTTACAGACGGATTTACGATTACAATAAAACTTTGCTCGCGCGGAAAATTATATTCATAGGATTGGATTTGCGCCAGATATGAAATACCGCGGATCCTACGAGTTCCCGAAGAGGTAGAGCGAACGGCAGCGAGAGAGTGAGGGGTGAGACTGTGGGAGAATAAGGTGGCGGAGTAGACGGTAAAAGAGCAGCGGCTTCGGGGAAATGGAGGAGACGGATGAGCATGGACCGTCTTCCTATGGGTGGGAGAATCGATTATTGCGAGAGTTCGACTTCGAGCCCGGAGTCAATACAGATATTACTCCGTTCCCAGAATACTTGGATATAATGCGGCGGTTTACGGCACACAGAGATTTACGGTGTAATCCGCGTCATTGTTGGAACGTAATGCACTGAAATTGAGGTATACGAGTCCGCCCGTGGCCGCGGCATCGTCGGGCGTGCGCGCTTATATCGCTGTAACATCGGTATCTTACTTTCAATTGTGAAGTTGAGAAAGCACCGTATTGTTCATCACTAAAATTTCCTCGGGTTATACTCGATAGCAACCGGCCGTTTCTCGTCAATCTTCTCGATCTGACAGTAATATTTCGTTTGTACCGATGAAAGAAGAGCCAACACCCCGAAAATTATGCGAAATTACTTCGGCATTCTTGCAATATCTTTGCGCAATATTATTACTCGATAAACGATTTCTAATTGCCACGTCGCAGGCTCGAATCAGCGACGAGGTCCTTGAAGATCAGCGCCCCTCAGCAAGTGGTAATCGAGTCCTGGGCAAGCGAAATCTCGGCCTCCTGCCTGACTGATCTGAAGCTACAGAGCGTTCACGGAGCCATCCGACTTGACGCAAAGTCCGTCTATATGAAGGGTCTCAAGGCAGCCATCCCGTTGCAAGGACACTCGTCCAGGGAGCAACAGCAACAGCACTCTGGCAGATCCTCATCCGTTCATCAGAACCAGAGGGAGACCACCATCTATCAACTGTGTGCGTGCGCGAGTGGCAAGCTGTTCCTCGCCAGGCCGGACGGTAGTTGTCAGGCCGACAAGTCGATTTGCTAATACGACGCGGCTCGACGGCGGTGTATCGCGACAACACAGGACGATTCGTTAGAACTAATCGCGGCGAACTACTGTGTGATTCGGTGATCTTAATGAAAGAGAAAGAGAGAAAGAGAGAGGGAGAGGGCAAGCGTAGAGTAGAGAAAAGAAAAGGAGAGAAAGAGAAGAAGGGAGCACTGAGATCGGCCATTGGCGCGATCGGGGACGAGGCCTTCATTGGAACACTGCAAACGATATCAAACGAATCTACCGCGCCAAACGGGCGAGAATCTCGACGTATCGCTTGTGAGAGGACACGGTAAATCAATACGAATAATCGAAAGCTAATCAATTACTTTCAGTACGCGCTATTTTTCGATGAACGCGGCGTATGTCCGATACGCTTCCAAGTGCCGGGCACCACCCTTGCGAGGACTTCTCTAGTTTACTCAGAGTCCGACCTAGATGTCGACGAGCGCGGCGTCGTGCCCCCGACGTGCACGCGTATCAATTAACTGGTATTGGATTGCTTTCCGCGATATTTTCCGTCCTTTTGTTCTATTTTTTTCGTTGTTTGCTTTCTTTCAGTTTAACATCAATCACGTTTAATTGAGTTGCCGTGCGAATCGGCCGTTGTTACAGTTTCAATCCCACGCATAAGCACACGTCAATTCTCACTATTCACGGTGTTTCGCGCGCAAACCAATCTTGATACGCGAGATATTTACGCGAACCGGAAACGCGAAACGCGCGCGCGTGTCAGACCGCTCTCTCCCAGCGACGTAAAGCGCGCCATCGTAGATATAAAGAGAATTCTCGCGAGATCTTGACCGGAAATATTCTCTCGAAAAATCGCGGGTATTCGGAAAATTCTCTCTGAAGAATATTCTCGAGCGCCATTCACCGGGTCTTTCCTTTAACTTTTTCTCGCGCCAGCGCCGCCGGTCAATGCGAGATACGCGATGGGAGAACGCGAGATTCATGCTGTTCGCGGAAGTTTTTGTTGCGGAAGGCTCGCGGCGCCCGGTATTTCCTCGCGCGCTCCGCTTGTTTGGCGCCCTGGATTCGGCACGAACTTGTATATTCCCCCCGGCAGGGGCCCCTGGATGTCCATCGGGGATCCGCCGACCCCGTGGTACCGTGGATAAATCGTATATAACTATGTGTACGTAGCACTGTCGCCGCGACGCGATTCCGTGATGCACACGGAATCTCGGACCGGGTTCTCATCGCGCGTTTAACGCTAAACACAGCATACTCCCGCGTTATTCGATTCGTTCGATCTTCTATCGCCGATCAAACGAAAGTAACGTGAAGGAAGAAGGGAAAAGTCAGGCCGCATGTAGCGCTAAACGCGAAGTCACATGCGCCGCTAACTACGCTAAATGGCACTACACGTGTGATGCTGAACGCGCGACGCTAAACGAGCTGGATGAAGGTGAGAATTCGGACCGTCCTGACGTGCCGCAGACCGGCGTAACAGCCTTAACCATCAAGTGATGTCACTTTAGAGTTTCACAGAAAAAATACGCGACAGGTGTGAGTTTCCGTGTTAAGTAGGATATCATGTCGGTTTGCGTGCGTACGTCGGCGAAATGCACGAATCACGTTCAGGCCAGCGCCCGGTATAAATCGAACCAACGACGACGACGACGACGATCCCTCGCTCGATCGTCCCCCTCTTTTGTTCCCGCTCCGTAGCACCTTCGTCGCTCACCCCTCCGTTCGATACTTTACACCCCGTGTACCGAGTGTACGCCTCGCGCGGCGAAACCACTTGTAGGCAAATCGTTCGTAGCTCCCACGAGCCCGCGCTCTCGGTGCTGGTGGCGCGGGGGCCCTTTCAAGGAGATTACTCCTCGCGAATCGCTTACTTCTAACGCGATGTCTGTTTAACCCGTGCTCCGATACAAAGTAGAAACGTTGTTGTAAGTAGGGCGACGGCTGCATCGGGCTGCGCGTGACGCCGGAAAAGGCGAGAGAATGACAGTGAGAGAGAAAGGGAGAATGCGAGGGAACGAGAGAATGAGAAAATGAGAAAGAGAGAATGCGACAGTAGTTTCGACGGATCGGATCGCGATCCAGCTTGTACGCTGTACATCGGCCATGTCCATTTATTTATGTATGTGGCAATAAAGTCGTTATTGTTACTATTATTATTAACCGTTGTACTCGATTATTGGACGTTGCGTCACTATTATTTTACCAATACTCATTTCTCATCTAATTATTGATTACATTGGACGAGGTTGTTCCTGCTCTGCCTTTAAACATTAAATTTCAATTATGCAGAATAACGTAATAATTTCGTCATCCTTGTCTCGCGTAGATCGGTAATGAATGCGTGGAAAGAACGTTCCTGTTAACTTCTCGTTTCCGCGTGACTAGCAACTTTAGACACGTCGCCGAGTAAACAAGATTCCCGTCTCGTCCAATGTAACCGTCCCACTAGCTTTACTATTCTTTCTTCGCTTGGTTAGTCATGTTCCCAAAGAGCGCGGCTTTCAACAACTGTTGCAGGTACGTTTGTTTTCTCTGTAACGCAAAATACTCATAAAGGACGCATACATATCCACCGTGCCCGATACAGTTCCCACCAATTATAAATTGTATAACTAATAATAACCTCTGCAAAGGTTTTGTTTCGCTTGATAAAAGCAGAAAGTTTTACACAGTATAAAATTATAGTTAAAAATTCAACATCGACTTTAGTTGAAAATACAAGCGGCACAATCGCGCTTGTTTGTTTGTGAAAATACGAACAAACACTGATATTTCCAAATTTTCGATTCGTTAATAAAATACATTCGACTCCTCTATTAAAATGTGATCGCTCGAGAGAGACGAGAAAGCGTGAGAGTGAGAGGGGGAGGAAAGGGAATAGGGGAAAATAGAAATTTAAATTAGAGAATAATCTCAAGACTAGTTTGAACAGCCCGGTGCATAATATAGTATATGTCAAGCGAGCTGACAGGTAACAGAGGCAATCTCACCTAGTACCCCCTTAAGCGGCTCTGACGGCAAGGTAATTTTCTTGGAATTCGGGATTAAAATTGCATTCACCGGCAGCGGGGAGGCGGATAAAGTTCGCGGCCAACTAGAGAGGTGGGTACCACCGTCGTTGGGGATAGACCTAGCACGGAGGCTCCGGTGGGCCAATAGGCTGGTGTGAATTAACAGCGACAGAGGAAGGAAAATAAACGTCGTATGATAAAACACGTTTTCTTCTCGCGTGCGACGAAGGAGGGAAGAACGAAGAGAGAAGAGCGGACGAATCGCGATACGGTGGATGAAGAAGCGTCATCTTGTATAGACGCGATTACAATGTAGAGGTATCTTCACGAGCTGCTTTTTTATTAAATTAAGGTACGTATATATATAAGGTACGTATATGTATATCGTACACACACGTGCACACACTGTACGTAATATCGTCGATACGTACGAGAAAAGTAATACTTGGTTATTTTCGCACATCTGAGTTAATTACATCGTACATTCCGGATTATGCAAGAACTTGTCGTAACAATTTCCATGCACGTATTCTGATTATTCACCGTAAAAATTAACCGATAAATCGAACCAGAGACGTAGCTTTCGATTCTCTACTGAATAACGCAGCGGATGAGTAAAAAATATATGATTCCGCTTCGGATTACTACAGAAGATTACACTACAGATCGCTTCAGGAATACACACGAGATCGTAAAGATACTCGGTATATCCACCGTATCCAGTCGAGTTTCTGTTCATTCATTGTACAGAAGGTACCTGAGCGAAGTACTTATCTGACTACCGTCGGTATTCGGTACTCGAGGTGCTCGAGCGCGCACGACCGCGCGATATAGGTCGATAGTAGCCACGCGGCGATGGTGGTGGTGGTAGTGGCGACGATCCTGGATGCCGGATGGCTTCTGTGAACCGTGAAATTGTTGCGCGGGGAACGGACGCGTCCGATAAAGCTTTAAATACGAATTAGTGGCACCCACGGCGCAGCACGCTATGTACTTCGCGTACATATATACGCGCGAAATCGCGCTTCGTGTCGGACGCAATAATCTGCTTAAGGCCCCATTTTGGCGACACTAAGTGACGCGCGATCTCGAATAATGCTAGCTGGCTAGGGCGACGTGAGAAATTTACTTTTAGCGCCGCGTGACCTGCGGAAACCGATTCGATTCCCTAACAAGTCTGATATCGTGACGTATTGCGTCAACGAATGTCACGATACGGTAAGGCGCGCCCTTAGATAGCATGTATATAGCATGGTTTTCAGAAGATGCTCCTCTCACGTTACTATGAAGATCGATCGATCGCGATCCGTCAATTTTCGCTCCGAGTGTGAGCTTATTAGGTCGCATCTCAGTAGTACAGACCCGTGTCGAGTCAGACGCGGCAGACTCGCGAACGTCTGCGAGCGGGAGAGTACGTATAACGCGCGTCGGCAGTCGTAAATCTAATGATTTACGCCGGCCGAGAGGAAGACAAACGAATGGATATCCACCTTGCGCGCGCGAGTAAGGACTTACGACGCGAGACGCTGAAGTAAACATTCATGAATCTTCGCGGGAATAATTCGACGGCGTTCGCTTCGACAAGTCCAATCTCCGAGCGCGACTTAATCCCTTTGCACGTCGTTCAATCGAGACTCGCGCGCAAATTACGCTTCCTACGTCGATCCATAATTAAGTTCGCCCTTTTACCCTTCACTTTTTCAATCCGCTTCTTTCCCGTTGCGTTACGTTCATTTTTACATCGCTCTCGAGCGAGCCGTTATTAGCGAGTACACAGTCGGCTGCGAATAATTCAATTCACGGCGGAAGTTTATTACGAGTGCGATGCTACACAGACGCAACCGCGAGTTGCAACTGCAGATCGTGGGGATCCTCGTGGTAGTAGCCGGTTGGCACATTAATTTCCAGGAAGCTTAATTCGAAGCGATCAAAAGCTTTCCGCCGTCGGCATAAAAGATTCCGCTGTTAATCCGTTTCAAGAGAGAGAGAGAGAGAGAGAGAGAGAGAGAGAGAGAGAGAAAGGGTTAATCCGTCGTTCGCGTGGACACACGTCGCACTACGAAAAGTCCCTCTTCCTTCTCCTTCCCACCCTTCATGTTATTACTTGTCGATACGCGTAACGACCCAGTCGTGATAAAATCATCCCTCCTCGTCGTCCCCGCGAAGCATGAAATCGCTCGAAAGGGCGACGAATTCCCCGTCAAGTTGCGGCTTTCGCGGCGGCAGTTGAAGGGTGAACACGTTTCGGGGTGAGTTTGCCAAGACGTGCGAGAGAGGGAGTAATTTATCCATTTGGCGGTTTTGATCGGGGAAAGAGCCTCGGAGGCACGAATGTCCCAACCTCCGACCTCGCACAATCCGCCTCTCTCGTGCCCGCAAAGCGACGGGGTTGCTTCAAGCTTCTTATTCGACAAACGTTTACTCGCGCCTGGAGTCGCTTCACGCGAAACTGCAACCTGTTATGGCGTACGTCAATTTGCATTTACGCGCATTATAACCGTCGTGCCTGCACACGATCGCCATCAGAAAAGTTCAATATGGAATTAGCCGTCGCATATCTCGCGAGATATGAAATTTTTAAATTAACTTTCATCCCGGTTATCTTTTTATCTTGTAAGAAATTACGGCTTTTACGGGGAATTTCTTTCACGAGCTTTTTCTGCTGCGTAAAAAAGCCGACCAGGCTCCTCTTTATCTGTATATCCGTTCTGTTGTTCTCTTTTTTACACGGTGAGGCGAGTTATTAATTTTTATTGTTTATTACACGACATTATTAGTACCTTTACGTGATCGATAGATAAGGTCTCTCCCGTGCGAGGCGAGTTAATATTTCGCGACTGACATCCACCGGAAAACCTGACGACCCGCTCGCACCCACGTCGTCGTGTGTGGAAGAGGCGCACGGGAAGTGCCACGAAGGGGTATATACGCAAAGGGGGGTAGACGAGGGGTGTCGTAATGGCGGCTAAATTCCTGCAACGGCCGGATGCAATTTAATGCCAGTCGTCGTGGCGCTATCATCGCCTCGCTGATGCAATATCTTTCGAGTTTCCGGCGTCTAGTTAGTGCGGAACGAGCTGTTGATAAATCTCTCCCACCCCCATCCTCCTGCCTACTTGCCCCTTGCCCCTTCTTCCTCCTACTCCTCCAACACCCGTCCCGGTCCCCGCCGCGCGGTATGTGGAGGCCATTTCTCCGGGGCGGAATTACATCCCCCAAATTGTAATTTTGTCGGGCACACCGTTCTCCAGGCAGTACTCGCATTATTTCCCCCTACTTGCTCCCCTGCGTCTCCTCGTGAAAGAGGGAGAGAGGGAGAGGGAGAGAGAGAGAGGGAGAGAGAGAGAGAGAGAGAGAGAGAATATGTGAGTTTCCATCCCTTTTAGCCTCAAGTAGGGGCTAACTTGCCGACGTCGTCCCGAACGGTGTCGTATTCGTCGCGTGGCACGTGTCTGCGAGCAAACATCGATTTCCGGTTACCGTTGCGGAAAGCTCAGGATTCGCGAGTCATAAAATTAGACCTCGGGGAAAATTAGAAGCGCACACTCGAACGCGCCTCGGTCATTTTAACGAGGCGAATTGCAGGAAAAAACGTCGGTAGCGATTTATCCGATATCCGTCCGCAGTAAGTTATCAACACGATATAAAAGTGAAATTAAGGACGTATCGTCCGAATCGGATGTAACACCTCGATAGCGCCAAATTGAGAGGAATATCGCGTGAAACAAATTGAAAACGGGCGGAAACGAAATTTCGTGATATTTTTGCGCGCCGCAATTTCGCCCGGACCAGTGAAATCGTCGATACGCCTCCGTTGGAGGGGCGTTCATGAATGCAGATGCAACGATATTTGATTATGGCGTCGCGGGAATTTAAAGAGATTGCGTGACAATTATCCTGTATAAATACAACGCGAGGAGGAACGAGGAGCGAGGTACGTGCCAGTCGAGGGTAGCGCGCCGGAAACTTTAGAGGAGTCGCGAGATTAAACTGATCTTTAAGCATCACCAACGAGAGGAACTTTAACGACGTCGTTATGATATTAATTATTAAAACCGCTCGATAATCGTCGACGAGTGCGGAGAGTGGCCTTTATTCCTTTTCACTACCTTCAGAGGTTGCAGGACAAATTGCATCGAATTATCTTGA